GGGGGGGGGGCACGTGTTGGAGTGGTGACCCAGGCGCTGGGCTATGAAGAGATGAGAAAATTACAAATTTGAAGGCTGGTGAGCGGTGGAGAGGGAGGGGGGGGGGCAGGGGGTTATTTGATTTTTTGCACCAGGTCCATGCCGGCCATGCTTCACCGTTGGGGTCGCCGGTTGGGACGAGTGCTGCGAGCGCCGTCCACGACGCTGCACTCGCAGCGTCTCCGGCTCGAGACGCGAGTCCCACCGCGGCCGTTCCCGGTAAACGCCGCTCCGCACGCCGCTCCGCACGCCGGTCCGCACTCCGCACGCCGCTCGGCACCGCCGCCGTCTCCGCGTCGGCTCGCGCCGACAGCTGCTGGCGCTATTTATTGTCGCCTAATTTCGGCGGAATGGCCCAGCGATATAAATCGATCCTCTCGCCAGACGCCCCGGTGGCCAATTTCTTCCCTGGCCGCTCGAGCATCGCGGCACGCGCGGCGCGCAATCAACGCGCGGCAGGGGTGGCGGGTGCGAGAGGGTGGGAGAGACGTGAGCGCAGAGACTACTATCGTGATATCACCAACAAGGGTCATTCTCATCACCACCACCATCATCATCGCCATACACTCGTCAATATCAATATCCATCCATCTTTATCCAGCATCTTCCATCATCCATTCATCATCATGATTATCATCCACCCATGATCATCCATCATCATCATCACCACCACCATCCATAATCATTCGCCATCATCCATCGCTCATCATCATTATCTTCACAACCATCATCCATCACTATCTGTGGGCCGTTTTGGGTCGAACAATCGCCCGTTTTGCAGTCACACGGTCACGTGAGCGGTCACGCGGTCAGCTGAGCGGTTTCTCGGTCACTTAAGCGGTCACTCGGTTACATCAGTGGTCACTTTGTCACGTGAGCGGTCACTCGGTCACGTGAGCGTTGGACAGTGACCCTGCAGGTCTGGCCTGGTGGACGCCCCTGGGACTCTGTTGATTTTCGGGCAAAACGAGACAAGAGAATCCCACGATTCGGTTGGGGTTTATTCATTTTTTGGCGGAGGGGAGTCCACACCATGGCAGCAGCAGCGGCGCGCGTGGGGCGCGGGCTGGCCTTGGTGGGGAAACCTCGCGATCATGGACGGGAGATGAGATATGGGACAGGATTTTTTTTTTATAATCAGATGGAGCGGGCGAGCCGGGACAATGTCCGCCTGTAACGTTTTCATCTCCGTGCCGCTGCCTGTTTCAAAAATTCTGTGTTGTTCACAAAAGGAATTCAAGTCGATTATTGTGCTCATGCTGCATGAGTGCATTTTTTTGAACCCACCACCTAGGACGTTTGCTGAACGTTGTTTTCGCGCGAGCGCCGCTCTGGTTAATTCGTTTGCACTAAACACGTTTTGCTCTTCCCTCTGCCCATAAAGGGGGCCGATGTCAGCAGGTCAAGGCTCAATGCTCGGAGCTACCCCTGGACTTAAATTGCACAAACACCCTCCCAAACTCATCAGCCTGAGGTTAACGAAACTCTCCCGCGCAGGTGTCCCTTACCGATGAACCTCGGCGAGCTCTCACCTGCTTAAACGACGGACGTTGATTAATATTGACCCCGCCGGCGTGTGTGTGTGTGCGCGCGCGCGTGTCTGTGGGGAACTCTAGTTGCTGAGAGGCACGATCGTCGATGACTCAGTAATGATTATTGGGCGGCCGCGATGACTTTGGGAGTGTCACGGACACGCTGGCTCCGCGCGCGCGCACGGGCGTGCATACAGATGCAGCGGTCACATGGCTCCGTGCAGATCTGTGATTGGTTCTTCTCCTTTCTGTGGGAGAAGGGGATGGGGGGCTTGTCCCCCCTCCCCCTTTGTCCCATAAAACAATATCTGCATGAGATGTTTAGAATTGGGCCAAACATCGAATGCGGAATCGTCGTGGAAAAACAAGTCTTGAGACTCAGCGAGACTCATTTCTATAAATTGCAATATCAGCGTGCAGTAAAGTGTACAAGCATAAACAAGAACCCACTCATAGTAATGCGATATGTTCTGTTGAGAGACTGGGTTCCGCCAAAGGAATGTAGTATTTTCCACCAATAGCTAAGCATCACCTCTGGACATTACCAGCACTCAATGCTAGATTGAGCTTGTAGACTGATTTGTTTTACTACCACATGATGTCGCATGCAGATAGACGTGGTGTGTTGTAAAATCGATGTCGATCATTCCTAGTTCACGTATTTCTCTGCAGAAGGGTCATTGCTTGACACTTTGACCTATATAGTCTGTGGCAAAGCAGCCATAACGCACTGTAGTACGTATACTGTCTGTCGAGGTCAAGAGGTCATCACGGCCAATGCCGTAGATGCCTCCACAGCTCGCCATCCCTTCATTGTGGTCCACAACACCAGCCCAGATATCGCTCTCGATGGTGCCAGCTGAGGTGGCACCATTCTAGCGGCTGATACCGGTGAGCAATGTGATAACCCACTTCTCAGTAACTCCACTCTCATCAGCCACGTAAGTAAATCGACACGAGTAACCTGTTGCTACTTCCAGCGGTGCCAGTGTCTGCTCGGGCCCGTGAACTACACTACAGTCTGTCCTCCTACAACGCGGTGGGAGTTGCGTTCCTCAAGAACACCGCGTGGTGGGAAAATTGCGTTATAATATATAGGGGGTAAAGCACAGTCTGCGGTAACACGTGAGATGCGTACGCAAGCAGAACAAAGATTGAGGCGCGTGGGTAGCATCTAGAAGCATCCAGCAGCATCCCAGCGCCTTGCGTGATGACGCTATGCCGTGGCAGCCGTACGACCGCTTTTTTTTTTTCTACCCGCGCGACGTGGTTCTGTTGGCTCGATCGCGTTATATCCAATTCGCATCCGCGTTATAAAAAATAAATGTGTTCCCTAAACACATTAATCGCGTTATATCCAATTCGCGTTATGAAAACACGCGGCGTTATAGCAGAACAGACTGTGCTTCCTTCTGCCAGATGTGGCAGCAATCGCACGGGGCGAGCACGCGGCTGGCAGGCACATCGCTCAGACTGTGCTTGTGCGCACGTCAGTGTGACTGTACAGTCATCAACGCGACCAACATTCGTCGTGCTAGATCGCGTATGGCGCGACTGTGTCGTGCACCCACCTCCACCTGACACGACCAAGTCGTAAGGTTGTCACGTGAACAGAAAACGGGCCAAGTGGTTGTTGTCACGACACTCTTCCGCGATCTAAACCCACAAACTTTGCCGTGAATAAACGCGTTCAATGTACGCGCACGCAAACGCGCGTAAACGCACATGAACACACGAATGTAGAAACGCACACAACGAGCGCTGCATAATGATGCAGCAGCTTCTTTATGTATCGCTGCGTGCACGGTTTATAGGGCACCGTACATGCATAATTTATCTTCGCGTTGCAAGTTTATCTCGTAAGAGCCAATTTCTCGCCGTCTCTGGTGACATGTTGCGTCTGACGTCTGCACACGAGATGCTCTTGCCGATAGTCAAACGCTAACATTCATTATTTGTGTGCGCTCTAAAAAGTTCCTTTAATTTCACGTTCCGTTGAGGTTGCCACGGATGTTGTAATGGATTAGCTATGCGCAGGCGAGGCGCGGCCAATGCCTCGATATAGGCGACTCCTCAGTCTTGTCATTTTCACCGCGGATGGCGCCTTTTGTAGTTGTGTGGCGGCGTCTTCGTCGTGTGACGCCCAGCGGCGACGACGTCAGCCGTCGGGTTTTTTGTTGTTGTTTGCCCCGCGTGGCGGATCCCCGAGTCCGAGGCGTTCGCCCTCTTCCCGGAGAGGTCGACCGCTCTCGGGCCGGTGTCCACCACCGCCAGCGACGCCCTGCTCGCGTCCACCAATCAACCCCCACCCTCGCTCTTCGTGCGTCGATCGCTTCCCCGACCATCTTCATCCACCCACTCCCCCTCCCGCTGCTCGCTCGACCGCGCACGCACGAGGCTCACGTGCGCATGCATAATCACGCGGACCGACATGGCTGGCAAGCGTGCGCATTCACACGCGGCCATGCAATCACACGCAGCGACGCAAGCATGCACAATCACACATAGCCGCACGAGCACACACAATCACGCGTAGGCACACAAGCATGCACAATAACAAATGGCTACGCGAGCAAACACATTCTCATGAACACGCATGTCGAGTGCTCGTGAACGCGACAGAACACTCCGGTGTTCACTCTCATCGGGCTGGGTCGTGGTGCACACCGCTTGCCCTGCACGTGGCCCCTTGCTCCACTGTGAATTTGGGACTACTGAATCCATCCGTGTGGCTCTTTGTGTGTGTGTGTTTTTTTTCTCTCTTGCACGTGTGGTGAGTTTTCTCCCCAGGTGCTCCAATTTCCTCTCTCATCCAAAAAAACACTCCATAGCCAAACGCTGCAAAGGCGGGACCCTCGTGAAAGAGAGGTCTTGGGACTCGCCGATGCTTTCCAGGGCATTATTATTGAACTGTATCATGTTCTTCTTTTTCACAGTGCATAGCGACCTGAATTTAATTCTCGGCCACGGCTAACATCAGTGGTGAGTGAAATCTAAACCGGCGCTGGGCAGCCACCATCACCAAACCGCACTCACCAGCAGGGTGCAAAGCGAGCAACCCCCATAACTAAAACGGCATGGGCAGGCGTTCATCCAGCAGTGGAGTGGCAAAGGGTTGTGGAATAATAAAATGTTGCTGCTCACGACGAGAGCAGCAACGCCGGAGAGGCATTGCTGCTAAGCCCTCTCACCCCCGGTCTCGGCTCACGTGATCGTCGTCGCACTGTACGCAGAGAGGGCGGCTGTGATCAATCGGACGATTCATTCGTTGCATGTCTTTTGCCCTCTGCTCCCACCGCCTCCCTCTCCTCTCCGCTACCCCCGTACACCCCCCTCCCCCCTCCGATCCTCATCTTCTCTCCCCAAACCCCCCACCACCATCCCCTTCCCTCCTTTCTGGTGCCCCCCCTCCTCTCCTCCCACCGGCAGGTGATTATCCTGGAGGATTACGCCTACCCCTTTGATGCCGAAAAAAAATCCAAAGGGCAGAAGAAGGACGAGGCCGGCGCCGAGAACGACGGCTACATGGAGCCTTACGAGGCGCAGAAGATGATTAAAGGTACCGGTGCGTCGTTGCCGCGTGGCCGGCGTGACGATGGCGTCCTGGCAGGCCGCGGGGCCGCGCCACACTGCGGCCGTCATTGCCGGGCAGTCGGCCGTTTTTCGTTTCGTGGCGACGCTGACATCTCTCTCTCCCTCGCCGCTTGTCGCGGAAGCGGCGAGGGAGTCCGAGCAACCGCCGAGTCCCTGGCGCTCGGTGCAAGGCGGTTACATCGCGTGGGGGCTCCTGGTTTCATCACCCACCCCCACCGCCACCCCCCCACCGCCCCCCAACTGTCATTGAATCTCCACGGCCCGTGAAGTGACACCCGCAGGCCTCCCCCGCAGGCCTCCCCCCGCCGACGCTCGTTGAGAATTTCCATCTGCGACGCGCGTGTGCACACACGCTGGGCTGCATCGACGCGCGTGCTTCTGTCAAAACGTGCAGATTTCACGGCACTTAATGGCGCGTTCACGCCAACACCAGCAGCGCCAATGGCCCGTGAATGTCTGCGCATCTGGCTGCCCACTGTTTGAACGAGCGAGCGAGGGTCGACCGGGTGGAGTGACCGAGCGGGTAGGTTGGGGATTGATTGAGCGAGCGAGTGGGTGGGCGAGCGAGAGAGCGAGCGAGCGAGCAAATGGGTGAGGGAGTGAGTGAGCAAGCCGGCGACAGAGTGAGTGAGCGAACGAGTAGTTGGGCGAGCGAGTGGGTGAGCAGGCAAGTGAGCCCTCTCCGTTGCTGTCGTTGGGGAAACCTGCGAGCAGGAGCGGGAGGAGAAGCAGTGGACGGGATGGCGGGGAGGGGAGTTGAAGCCGCGGGTGACCTCAGCCGAGCAACCAAACGATGAGAAATGTTCGCGGTGGCATTCTCAATGCCGCCCTCGCGCGCCGCTCTCATAAATTCCCTGTGACCTCTGAACCCAGAACTTCGCTTCCTCCGCCGCCCGGTCGGCCCGGCCGTGCATTTGGCGTGTCACGCCGCGAGCGCCGCTCGCCGCTCCGCATCCCGGTGAGCGCGTGGTTGCCCGCTGCTCCCCGCCGTCGCTAAGTCGACCCCTCCCCCCAAACCCCCCCCAACCCCCACCAACCCCCCACCATTCCCGACCATGAGCAGCGAGCAACGAGCAGAGAAGAGCGAGCGTCTGCACACACATGGAGCGCGCGGTCGCTCCACCTCACCATTTTCACTGCGCTGCTTTGCATCGCCTCTCGTCGCTTGAAGTGTTTTCTTTCATTGGTTTTGTGTTTATTATTTTTATGACCGTGCTGTCCCATCAATTGCAAATCGCTCCGCCTCGGATGCTCGGCGTTATTTCTCTTGCTGGCGTGGCGAGGCTCCGTCGTGCCCGCTGATGCGACAGTGATTTCTCCGTCCCACCTGCTGTGCCCGAGTCCCTACCCTTGGCATTCTCATTTTGTTTTTTATTTGCAGCGCAAGCGAGCAGTCTCATAACCCGGGCGGTAAACCAATTACCGTGAGGTCAGCACCCCCCTTCATCAAAGACACAAGCTTCTCTTTAGGAGCTCCCTTAGCTATCCCCCCCGCCCCCTTTCCTTTGCTAACCTCTTTCTTATAGCCGCCAAAAAACCCAACTCGGGCACTCCTGGACTCCATCACCTCCCCACCTTCCCTCCTCAATATTTCACATCCTGCTGCCACTGTGCCTCCAGGACATCGTCCATCAGGCTGCCCGGGCGCCCAGCGCGACGCGAGACCAGCGTCTGCCGACACTCGACCCCCGTTCAGACGCCCCCACCCCCCGCGCCCCCCATCGTTTCTCCGTCCCCTTGAGCCCAGCTTTCCGCACCACCCCCCCCCTTCCGCCCCCAACCCCCACCGCCCCTCCCCTACCCGTATTTGGTGAGCCCCTCTAACCGGGCTGGGCCGGCGCGCTCCCTCGTCTGGGGGGTGGGGGGGGTTGGCGGCAGCTGGCCGCTCGGCGCCGAGTTTATTAAACGGCTGCGTGGGCCTCGTCGCCGTCTGGGCGAGGCGGCGAGCGATGGAGAGAACCGGGGGCGAGGCGACGCACGCGGGCCTCCGTCTCTGGCCGAGCGGCCCCTGGCGGCGGCGGCAGCAGCACCCGTGGCGAGACGCATCGTGGATGTGGCGTTCCGGGTACAGACGTGTGCTTGCGGGTCGCCGACCCGGACGGAGCCGGCTCGAATTAAGCCTCGCACACATTCCTGCGCCGTGTGACGATTTGTTTTGAGAATCCCCCGCGAGCGGTGCACGCGGATCGGCGCCCGGAGGTCGTGGCCCCGGGGGCCGTCCTCGTGCCAGACGGTGGACGGCCGCACGAGCAGCTGTCGGATGTCGAGCGTTGACTTTCGAGCAGCTGCGGGATCTTGGCACGAGGAAGGAAGCGACGGCAAAGCGACCACATCCAGTGCAGCCCGGCACACCGTGGCCAGTGCACATCTAGTTATGGCTGTGGCCGCTCCTTACTGTTCACGTGCCCCGCTACTTACTGTTCACGTGCCCCACTACTTACTGTTCACGTGCCCCACTACTTACTGTTCACGTGCCCCCCGCTACTTACTGTTCACGTGCCCCCCGCTACTTACTGTTCACGTGCCCCCCGCTACTTACTGTTCACGTGCCCCCCACTACTTACTGTTCACGTGCCCCACTACTTACTGTTCACGTGCCCCGCTACTCACTGTTCACGTGCCCCGCGCTACTTACTGTTCACGTGCCCCACTACCTACGTGCCAACATCGCACCCCTCGGCTTCCACGTTCCTAGCTCGGCGATGCCGGGGAGGGGGGTGGCGGAGGGGGGGGGGGAGGAGGCTGCCGGGTGGCACAATTCCCACCGCAGGTGTTGCGTTTGTTGATTTGCGTCCCCAGCCAGCTCACAAACAACGCCTCTCGGCAATCCGTTCCGCCCGTGCGGCATCGCGGAGGTGCTGGGGGGGGGGGGCGGCGTCCGTCTCCCCGCCCGCCGCCGTCCGCGGCGCCGCGGCGCGAGAGCATGTTTCCATCCCGGCGTGCGCCGTTTGACATTTATTTTACATAAACACGAGCGGAGTTTTTTTTTTACTTTTGAGAGAGCAACGCGTAATTTGCACGGAGGCGCGACCTCCACGCGAGGTGCGGGTGCGCGATGGCGGCGGCTGTTTGACCCCCCCCCCCCAACGTATTTAATGGAGTTGCGTCGCCGCATTTCAGAGCTGTCGGCTCGGCGCAGGGTAATGGTGATTACGGCCTCGCCCGGCTCCATCCGTCTCTCCCCTTCCGCGCGCTCCCCCGATCACCACGACGCGCGCTCACCTGCTACGTCTGAACAGCGAGGAGAACGTCAACAAACGTGACGACCCTAAACAAAACGAGCGAAATTAATCCACCGGGGCCGGACGGGCGAGCATTCCGCGGGAGCAACGTCCGCCACCCCAGATGCGGGAGAATGCCAGGAATCGGAGCGTCGGGGCCGGTTGGATCGTCCGGGGGGGGGGGGGGCGGGGGTCGCGACAGCTGAGCAGCTGGACGGGAGATGCGGCGGCGCCTCCCGCACCGCCAACCCCGCCACCGCCGCCGCCCGTCGCTCCCCGTCTCGCCTGTGGTTTCGCCGAGACACGTCACCCTCATTCGCGGGTTCTGCTTCGGCGAGTGAGCGAGCCTCATCAGCAGGCCACAACCGCTCAAGCCGCCACTGGCTGCCGACGTGGCCCGGCCAAGTTGAAAACTCCCTCCAGTGACGCTTTCCTGGAGAAATTGAGGACATTATTGGTGTTGTTGTGCAACAATGACAAGAGCACTCTCACCATCTTCATCTCGCTCGACTCGCCTTCACGAGCTCTCCGCTCTGGCAACCGGGGCTTCCTGTCAACTCTCAGCCAATCTTCACTCACTGAGGGCCCTGCTGTGTGGGGATGATTGACAAATCACATTCTAACGATGTGTTTGAGCAGGCAGGAGCTGATTATGCACGAGCCGCCGTATCAGCAGCTGCACAGCGTTGCCAAGGCTCCCCACTGCAAACTTGGCTCAGCAACTACGATCAATCGCAGTTTTGTCAATATCTTTGTGGTTGTCATACGCAATAGACATTTATCTGGCATTGGAATGTGTAATTTCCCCCTTCCTGCCACTGTCTCAGGACAATAAACAAGAGACGAGCACTCCTTCAATGTTCATTAGAGCAGGGATCTCACTTGACTATTCCTCTGCTCAAAAGAAGAGCCATTACCCCGATTGCCAGCTAAATATTTATAGTTTCTGCCCTGGGAGGGAGTGTAGAGGCATGGCGGCGGTGTCGCTTCTGTCCCTCTGTGACGGTGTCAGCAAAGCACCGCTGGAGTCGGTAGAGATGTCGGGTTGGGTGGTGGGGGGAGGAAACGCGGGGGGGCGGTGGTGGCATTGGTGGAGGCGGTGGAAGCCGGACATCTGTTTTCGATTAATTCTCGTCGCCAAACGAGAGAGAATTAGTCAAAAACAATCGGACTGCATTGAGCAGCAGCAGCAGAAAAGCGAAGCTCATTGTTGGCGTGATGAGTTTGACGGCCGGCGAGAGAGTCACGACTCAGCGGGGGTGGGGGGGGGGGGTTCACCTCCCCGCGTGTCCCCCGGGTCACGCGTGTGCCCCGCGCCGGGCAACGCACGGAGGGAGCACGAGTCGCCCTCGAAGTTAGCAGCACAGGATGAATTATGCAGCCACTACTACCAATCAAAATAAACAGTAAAAAGTGATCGCAACAAAGATGACTGCGGCCGCTAGCGCTGCTGCCTTTGTTGCCAGTCTTTGTCGGGACTCGTGATGTTTTTGTCTTGTTATTTTAATGGGCTGGCCGCGTGCGCCCACGATTTTCCCGTCATTGTCGCCGGTGTCCTCGGGCTGTCGATTTCTACGAAATTGGTTCAGGAATTTTAAGGAGGTACGGGCGCACATGAATGCGCATTGCGCACACAAAGACAAAGATCCCACGTGCGGCCTTTAACAGACTGTCGGGGCAAGTGCTTTTAGCGAGTAGCACCGATGAAGGCCTGCACGGCACACGAGGGGGTGGGTGGCCAACA